AAGGATGTGACACTGTAAGCCAAACACTGGTGCTAACAATAAAGTTGGTGGTTCAAATCCACCAGACAGTCCTTGGAAACCCCATACAGGCTCACTATGAGTCAGAACCAGCTCAATGACACTTCACAATGTTGGCTTTAAACCTGGTATAGCTGTAGGTTAAATACTAGATTGCTAACCACAATCTGTGGCTCAAATATACCAGCAGCTCATCAGAAACCCTATACAGGTAGCTATTGTAAGCTGGAACCCACTTGATGGCACTTTAACAGGTTGGCTTTGAAATGGAGTGCTGTGAAACCCCAAGGGGCTAAAAAGGTTTTAGAAAGCAAAATCTTGAAGGCCCAAGTGGCCATTCGGTCACCAAAATATGTTTTCTCTAAAAGTAATTACTTTTTCAATTAGTAGTCAAACCTACCCTGAGCACTACTGCAGGAACCAAAGAAATCCCACCATACATCATCTTTTTTGGCCACTGAGAATCACCACCTAGTGTAGGCTGGAGACAGCTTGGCTAAGGACCATTAACAGGGCCTTGAATAAACAGACTTTAACAGAGAATTCCTATAGTCTGGCAGGGGTGGTGCGGGGGGAGTGTAAAGGGGGAATAGGAAGGTTGGCTACCTCATTTCTGAAATCTGTATAAAAACTCTGCTTCCCCTTTTCCTCAGGGAGACATCAGGGAGATTTTCGATTCCGATCTTCCTGGGTATCCATACTCAATGAATGCTTTGCTCTCTGCTCTGAGTTTGGTCCATGAATATTGGTTCCGTCAGCAGCAGGTTATAAGATTTTTTCCAGTAACAGCTTTAAGGAGCCCTAGTGGCACCTAACAAATGGCACTGTAGTCCTGGTGTGGCGCTGTAGGATAAGCACTGCATTGTTTACGGCAAGGTCAGTGGTTCAAACCCACCAGATGCTCCTTAAAAGACCCTATACAAGGTCGCTGTGAGTTAGAACTAACTTGACAGCGCTTAACAAAGTGGTGCTGTGGGCTAAGCACTGGGCTGTTAAGGGGAAGATCAGCAGTTCAAACACACCAGTTCATCTGTGGTAGAAAGATGAGGCTATCTGCTCCCACATTAATCTTAGAAACCCTATATAGCGTTTATGAGTTGGAATCTACTCAGTGGCAGTGGGTTTGATATGTTGGCTTTAGAAAAACCATCTCTTCACTCCCATTACCTTCAACAGGAAGGTAATTAGGGATCTGTCATGTACACTCTGTGAATCGGAATCTGCAGCTATAAAGATGTTTAAGTGCCGAGTCAGTTCCGACCCATAGCGACCCTGTACAGGGTTTCTAAGGCTGTAAATCTTTATGGGAGCAGAAAGCCTCATCGTTCTTCCGCAGAGTGGCTGGTAGTTCCAAATTGCTGATCTTAAGGTTCGCAGCCTGATTCGTAACCACTACGCTACAGGAGCGCTACACCAGGGCTTCAGCTATAAAGACAGCCCAGGTTAAATGAGCAGTGGCCAAGATAGGCCTTGAAATCAAAATACAGCTGTGCTCAAATTCCAGCTCAACCACTTAAATTCTATGATTGGGCTTGGACAAGTTAAAAAAAAACCTCTCCATGCCTCTCAGCCAACAGTAAAACGGGGATGTGCCTATATAAAGCACAGGAGATACAAAACATGACACTAATGCTCCTCCACCTAGATGGCACAGGAGTGCAGAGAAAAGTGCAGTTTGTTTGAAGTGCTGGAATTTAAGCTGGGTTAACAGTGGACATATTCTAAAATGTAAAAAAGTAAAGGTGGCAATTATTGGTGTGAGGAATGAGAAGACTACTTCAAATGAATACTCTTGACCAATCTGAAACATTTGCCAATTTAACTACTTAGGAATCCTTATACCTACTCATTCCAACTCACCTACCTACACCAGTGAGATTGAGGAGTCAGCCTGGTTCATTCAGCATAGAAAAGCAGCTGTATGATTAAATAACCAATGAACTCATGGCAAGCAGGAGCTGCGACCCTTAAGGTAGGCAGTTCAAAACTACCAGCTGTTCCGCGGGAGGAAGATGAGGCTTTCTGCTCATGTAAAGATTATAGCCTCGGAAATCCTGTACCGGGATGCTGAGTCGGAACCGACTCCACGGCACATAACCACCACCACTTATGACAAGGAGCCCTGGGGGCACTGTGAGTTAGGATAACCACAAGGTTGGTGAATCAAATCCATCAGCCGCTCTGAGAGAAAGATAAGGGTGTCTGCTCCCGTAAGATTTATAGTCTCAGAAACATACTGATGGCAGTGGGTTGCTTTTGTGTGTATGGGGAATTTATGACAAGGTAGGAGAAAAATCGTCCCTTCTTGACTCCATTGGATTCCAACCCAATCAACAAGTAGACAGAGAAGACATCAACAAATCTGAGTGAAATGTTTACATTTATATTGAAATATGCATTAAAACAGAATGAGTTCTACTAGTCAATGAAACTTCGCCAAAGCAGATTCACAAACTTCTGTTGAGGAGGTACAGTCAGCTAGCAGCAGTGATCCCCAGGCAGGAACACAAAGGAGAAGCCCGGGGGACCCCCCTCCAATAAGCCTCACCATCACAAGAGGCCCCAACTCACTTCTCCCACATGCACCCACACAGATTTAGGAGCATGGACATACTCCCCATTTTCATATATTTTTAGCTTCTTCTTCACTGCAATAAATATACAATTGGCAATGCTCACACACCACAGCACAGACAATAGTTCAGGCTTTAGCATACAACTGTAAACAGTGACTAGGTTACAAAAGAAGGAAAGAGAAAAGTTGGAGTTTTTTTGTAACAGTAAGAGACAGACTTCTTAAGAGCAGAGCATTAGCTACTCAAGATTTGTTTGATGGGTTAAGGTTTTTGACAAATTCGGGTTTAGACAGATGCCCTTCATGGCCCAGAGTCTTTATGGCAAGGTAGACTGTGTGGGCAGCAAACCACCAGTTCTAGATTACCCTGGGTAAATAAATCTTCAACCTGCCACATGCAAGCTATGAGCACAGACATCTTTGGAGTTCTATCACTGCATGCCATCTAAGTTAGTGGGAACAGGTGGGCAGATGAATTAAAACTTGCTGGGAGAGGAACAGAATCATCGTCTCTGCTAGCTGCCTAAAGTTGGCCCCTTGATCACAATGACAACTAGGACATTTCACTAGGACAGTGTATTTTTTAATGGAACAAAAAAAAAAAAAAAAAAAGGGGAGGGGGTGGTTTTGAGGGTGGCAGAAGGGCATACAAAGAGAGAAGCTCAAAGACTAAGCATTAAGTTCTGTTCCTGTAGCAAACTGGGAAGCTTAAAGCAAGGCAATGAAATCTGGCAAGAAAAGAGAGTGGATTCAGTATCTTCCTAGACTTAAAAGGCTAGAGGTTTAAATAATGCTGCCTGAAGAGTCTGGTAGATACAAAATGTTAAATGTATCTATCTAAGGTTCAAGCACATAAGCAAATGGAGCAGCTCACAAAGAGGTCTCTGACATTCAGTCAATGGAGAGGTAACCGAATGGGATATTTGGCTCATATGCCACTCTCACAACCAGAAAAATGATTTTGAGTATGAAGAGTATCTTTTCACACACAAAACTTTAGCTTAGATAATTCTCCCTAAACTATGCCTCAGCTCAGAAAAAAAATGTCTTGAAAAACTCAAGAACTATGGATAAAATGGAAATTTCAACATAGTAAACAAGTTTAGTCTACATCACGTGTTATCTTGTGTTGTTAATCAAGACATGATACCTTCAGAAAAGTTGTATTAAAAAAAACCCAAAAAAACCTAGAAAAGATGCACCAAGAAAAGAATTAGCCCAAGTCCTATCCCTTTCAGTTAGAAGTCTTAGCACAAATCAGCTGACCCCATCCCCCACAAGACACCAAAGCCCAGCCACTTGCCCTGCAAGCAGAACTAACACATACGCCTTAGTTACTGAACTTGAGCATTCCGCAGAATCATTACAGAGCACATTTTGATGGGCTACTTCAATACCTATGTGGTCCAGTTTAAAGTATCTGTTTGTAGATCCAGTTGTACATATTCCATGGGTGTATTTAAACAAGAAACCATATACAGTCCCATCTTTTTTTTTTTTTTTTAAATGGCAGTTCTTGTAGTTCAAGCAAACCATAAAGATTATAATAAAGAGCTTTCTTGTGAGAACGTTCCCAATGGTGGGGACACATTAATGAGAAATCCTAAAAGTTAAAGCTTTAAAAAAAAAAGTTTGTTTGTTTACGGAAATGATGACAAAAGGAAGAACATCTGTCTGAAGAACATCTTCATTTGTTTCCCCAGGGGAAAGGTCCACAGTTTTTTGGGACTGACATACTTTTAAAAAGTAAGCCAATAAAAATACACCTAAAAACTTGAAATCATGCAGGGCATATAGGAAACAGAGTTCTGATTTCACCTCCACCCCCTCAAAAAGGGGGAAATTGTTACAGAACTTAAGGGAAAAACAAACCAATCAACCAACCAGAACTCTGAGTATGGACAGAACTACAGACTCTCTAGCACAGAACACCAAACAAGAAAGTGTTACTTAGCAGTAACAGCATCATGAGTAACTGCTGGAGACTTACACTTCCAGTAACAGAGCTCCCAGGTGAAAACCCGGCTATCAAAGATGGTAATGTCAACAAGGACCTCCCAAAAATAAAGGGGTGGGGGGAGGAAAGGCTGCATGCATGAGCCTACTAAAGACATGATATTCAGCAGCACAAAAATGAAACCCTCCAAAGAGTCCCCAAACAGGGCAAACCTGCTTTTCACTGCTAAGCAGAAGACTAAGAGTGGAGCATCTTTACTAGCCGTCTCCCATATCTGAATGGCAATCATGTTCAAGCTGATGTATTTGTTATGAAAACTTGAGGATACATTATGAGTAAAGCAAAAAGGCTAAAATAAAAACCGTAACTGGAAAAAAAATATGTTTTACAGTCAAGTGGGTGTGATTCTGATTTTTACACATAATCCAGAAAAAGAAAGGCCAAGAAAAGAATCTTCATACTGTTCAGTACTTAGGCTGATGTTGTCCTAGGAAAAAAGTGATAATTCAACGAACATGTCACACAAACAACTAAAAGTCCTCTTGGGGTTTCAAATGAATTTTAAACAACAATCTTCCTTGGCTAATTTTTCTCCTGTGTAAAACAAACCTTTTATGTACAGATCAGTTTAAATCCCTCCTCCCTTTCAAACACTTAGAAAGAACATCCAGGAACATTCTACAATGCAAAGTGCCTTTAGGAAAGAGGAGGGTTCTGTAGTGCCAGTGATCTAACTGCTCTGAGGAAAGAAGCTGTGATGGGATGAATACTGACAGGAGCCAGTCAGGCAATGGTGGTCTGCTTCTCCTCAGGTGTTTCCTCCAACAACTGCATGATCAGTTCATGGAGAGGTTTGCAGATCTTTGCATAGCCCCCTCCTGTGAGATGCAGAAAATCAAACATGTCGTGACAGGAGATGGCACCGTCCGAGTGCACAAAGCCCCCATCTGTATCCAGGAGCTGAACATTGGCAAGCTTCGGCAGAGAAATCTTGAGAAGCTGGTTCACCTTGGCATTCTTTTGCCTCAAAGGGTTGGGCTTCTCACCTCGAGGTAACAAACCCTGGGGCAGAGCAGAGAAGAACATAAAATGAAAAGAGGCACTCATTCATTCTTCTCTACTAATTTATTTGTGATTTCACAAGATCCTGGAACCACTGTTCCATTTGACATTTTCTAATCTTGATTTCCGAAATGCTGGAATGGACTAGTAATAAAAGCTCTCTGGCCATTCCTTACATTTTCATTACAGGTTCCTTGTCCTTCTCTTGTCCCTTACTTGGTGGAATTCTCCAGCGTTTTGTTCTTGGTGCATTGCTCTTCCCACTCTAACACATTAAGCCCTGATCTCTCCCTAGAGCTTCCGAACTGCGTATTGAAGTGCCAGTTAAGAGAACCAACCCTGAATGTTCCTGAGATACCTTCCACTTTGGTACTTAGAAAAGCAAATCATCATCTTCCCCCTAATCTAGTTCCTTCTACATTCTCTGAATCAACCGATCATTCCCACATCTCTGAATTACCAAGTAAATGCCTCTCATTCCATACACCTATTTACTTAAAATTATTCCATTTTTGTTTCCTTAATCGTTCCCAAAAGTATATAATAAGGATGGAGAAAAGACAATGGATTGAAGAAATATTTAGGAAACAAAAATGGAATAGTTTGAGAAGTAGCTAAGGTATGTAGGATGAGGTAAGTAGACAAGCCTGTGGGATGAGGCATTTTGTCTAGTTAATTCAGGAATGTGGGAATCATCAGTTGATACAGAGGCTGCAGAAGGAACGTAGATTAGGGGGAAGACTATATTCATGCAGCCCTGGTGTAGGATAAGCACGCCAAACTATGAGGTCGACTGTTCAAACCCATTCGTCACTCCTCAGAAACACTAGACAAGGTTGCTGTGAGTTGGAACTCACTTGAAGGTACTTAACATTAGGCACATAAAGAGTCCCTGGTGGTACTATCAGCTGCACACTGGACTGCCAACTGAAAGGCTGGTGGTTCACACCCACAGCCACTCTGCAGAAGATGAGACTGTCTGCTCCCGTAAAGGTTTATAGTCTTAGAAACCCCATGGACAGCTCTACTCTGATCTATAGGGTCGCTGAGAGTTGGACTCAATGACGCTGGCTTATATACATGGAGTCCCTGGGTGGCAGCATAGGTTAAGCACTTGACTAGTAACCAAAAGTTTGAGGGTTCCAACCCACTCAAAGGCATCACAGATGAAAGGCCTGGCGATCTGCTTCTGAAAGGTCCATACTGCCTAATTCTAGCCTCAATGCATGAGGTCACCATGAGTTAGAACCGAATCAAAAGCCAACTGCTGTTTGGGTTTACTGTGGGATAATGCACTGGAATGCAACATCAGTCTGAACCACAAGGTCGACAGTTCAAACTTACCAGTTGCTCCTCAGATATCCTATATAGGTCACTATGAGTCAGGTCAGACCTGACTCAATGGTACTTAACAACAACAACAACATATACAAGCCATTGCTTGGAAACTTATCACTACTCACCCTGATTAAGGTAAAATCTCCTGACCAATCTTCCTAGTTTCAATAATGTTCTTCCCTCCAATCCATTCTTCAGATAACCATCAGAATAGCTTTGCTCAAGTACATACCCACCTATTAATGCCACATGGTACCTACACTCCGTTTACAGCATGAGCAAGAAGAGGTGGAGCAAATGCTATCCTGAATTAGACACATATCTTGTTACATCAAACATAGATGTGTTCTAAATTCACTTCTAATTTGTGTTAACTATATCATTGTCAGACAAACCAGCTATCTGTTTCCCTCCTATAGAAAACAAAACGTCTGCTCTTACTTGGCAAGAGCAATATTTCATCATCTTGAACTACAAGTGGCCTTTATTACAAATTATTACCAGAGATCCCAACCTTTAGTTGGTTTACAGCTAGTGATATCATAGCAAATTACTGTTACTTAGTAAATATTCTGCCACCAGCTTTTCCTACATGTATGGTTGTTGTTGTTAAGTGCCATCAAGTCAGTTCTGACTCATAGTGGAGCTGTATAGTGTTTCTAAGGCTGTACATCTTTATTGGAGCAGAAAGCCTCATCTTTCTCCAACAAAGTGGCTGGTGGGCTCAAACCACCAACCTTGTGGTTTGAAGTACGGTGCTTATGATGCCTTATTTCACAAAAAGATTTTCTGTGGACATCTGAGTTAAAAAAACAAAAACAAAAATAGTAATACCTGAAGTATGTGTTTGCTTATAACAGCTGTAAAAATGTTCACAAGATGTTGGAGCCTTGATTATCAACTTATTGTGTGGTTGTGCAGTTTCACAGGAGGACTGTAGAAAATTATCACTCTGCTACCCTGGTCCAGTTCCTTCTTTCCTTGTTTAGATCTTCAACGTTGTCCCAAGATAACATCAATCTTATACTCTAGTTTGTATGACTATTAAAAGTACAAGCCGCTGTATCTCATAGTCAACAAAGAAGAGCTGTCCTCAATGCTGACATTATCAAAATATGACTTGAAATATTATGCACAGCCCAGAGGGATGACCAGTGGAGCAGTGAGTATACAATTTGTTCTGACTTTCAAAGAATACGACAGCAGTCTAAGTCACAAAGAATGATGAAGTTCCAAGAACAAGACAATGTACCTGCTGAGATTTTCAAGCAAGGGTATATGTACTTACAAAGCATGCTCCTTAATGTAGGAATAGCAAGGGTATATGCTATGTGATTTTCCCCTTAAGTTTTAGTAATTATGAAAATACTGTAACGTTAATGGAAACAAAAAGTAAAAAACTATACTCTTAATGCCCTCAACCTATAACTAGTTGTTTTGTTTCCTTCCAGTTCCTTTCCAACTAAATATACACTTTTCAGTAATTCTAAGTATTACTGTAAATTGTTTTCACACAGTCCTCATTCATTGTCATGCTGTTAAGAGGCACCGAGTCAATTTCAACTCATAGAGACTCCATGTAGCAGAGTAGAAACACCCCATAGGTTTTCTAGGCTGTCTTCTTTACAGGAACAGACTGCCAGGACTTCCTCTTGGTGAAGCTGATGGGTTACTTTGAACCACACCACCTCTCATTTGGCAGTCAGTCAAGCGCCTAGCTGTTGGCCCCCAGGGCTCCTTGTCAGTGTGATTAATGCTGTTACATTCAATGATTTGTTTGATCATTCCCCAGGCAGCTCACAGTCTAGTTTTACCTCTAATATTTCTGTACGGTAAATATAAAAACTAACACCTCTGTATATCTAGTTGAAATAAAAAGTGTTTGTATTCAGCAACATTCATGTAAGAAATATTTCCTATCAAGGGAGAAGAGCGGAGTGCGGGACCCTACCCAGAAAAACAGTGACGCCAGAGATGGAGGCAGAGATGATGACGTGGAGAGATGGAGCGGCTGGGAACTCTAGACCCAGAAAGCAAGAGGGGCTGTGTGCTGGTGACCAGGGGGCAGGCTTGGTTGGTTGATGATGCATGGAGAGGACTGTAACAATGGTAATGTAATGACACACCACAGTATGAATGTAAAGCTAATGTTCTCCCATGTACATTATCACATAATTCATAATAAAACAGTTTAAAAAAAAGAGAGAGAAATATTTCCTAAGCAACTACTATGTATCAGCCAATGTGCTTTAGGGGTGGACGCTTAACCACAATGCAATCTTTTCAGGAATAAAGTGGGATATAAATTAAGTCCATGCTGTTGTTTTTGTTAAGTACCGTCGCACTGATTCCAACTCATAGAGACACTATATAGGGTTTCTGAGGAGCAGCTAGTGGGTTTGAACCCCCGACTTTGTGGTTAGCAGGTCAGTGCTTCTCCTACTCACCAGTCGCCAGGACCCTTTAAATGAGTCCATAAATAAATAAAGTACATTGAGAACCATGTAACTAAAAAATAATCAAGACCTGGCTCCCCAGCACCTAAAGACATAATTCGAACTCCATAACATGGCCTACAAATTCCTACCTACCCTGGCTCTCCACTCTTCTTCCTTACTTCCACTGCCTCAAACTTTATGCCATGACAGATCTAAAGTTCACCTAGCATCCTGTCACTCAGGTAACACAGAAAATACACAGGCCTCAGAACATTTTGTTTTCCCTCCATAATGCCCTTTCTTCTTTCCTTTACCAATCTGTCTAGAGACCAATGAAATTTTTAAAACTAAACTCAGATAATCAATTGTTAAATCTCAACTTTTATGCCCTCCCCTTAGCACACCGAGTAATTCTCTTTATAGTGCTGCGTGCAACCACTAGACTATGGCTTGTTCATCTCTGCACCCTCAGAATCTAGGACAGCACCTTGTACTGTTGTTGTGAAGTACCATTGAGTCAATTCTGACCCATAGCAACCCTATATAGGGTTTCAAGGAGCAGCTGGTGAGCTTGAACCATCAACCTTGTAGTTCAAACGACTTTGCAGTCTGATGCATTAGCAGTGCCACACACCAGGACTCCATGCCTTGTACTAACCCATACTAAATGTGTGTACTGAAATGAATGCCTCTCTGAACTGTACTTAAGAACTAAATGCAATGAATTACATTACCAGATTTTGTGTACACATTTTCAAGCTGAGTATCTACAGCTAAACTTTTACACTGAAATAGATAACTGTTTGCCTCTGAGACTATAAAGACTTGATGTTTATTTTAAAAAATAAAGACTTTTAAATGCTTGTAACGTTACAAAAGTAGCACTTTCTGTTTGGAGTAAGACTAAAATGCACTCATTTTTTGCTGATGGAATTTCTGAGATTTTAATAAATATACCACCTTTAAAGTATTAAAGAAGTCCTGGTGTAGCGCTATGGGATAATGTATTGGACTGCAAGGTCAGTTTGAACTGCAAGGTTGACAGTTCAAATTCACCAGGTGCTCTTCTGAAGCCTTACACAGGGTCACTATGAGTCAGAACCGACTTGGCATCACTTAACAACAATAGCGTATTAAAAGTGGAACAGAATAATCTATGTAAATTAATCCAAACCCAGGCCTAATCACAAGAGAATCTAGATTCAGACACGTGTCATATGCAATCTTTTTAAATAATTTACATTAACAGAAGGCAGTCTTTTTAAAAAATTTTATTTTAAAGGAAGGCACTTGAGATAATAAACAGAATTTCCACCCTTCTAAACAAGGACAGGAGTCCTGGTGTGGCGCTGTGGGTTAATGCGCCAGACTGTAAAGCTGTCTAAACTGTAAGATAGGCAGTTCAAGCTCACCAGCTGCTCCTCAGAAACCCTATACAAGGTCGCTATGGGTCGGAACTGACTCAACAGCAGTTAACAACAACAAACAAGGACAACTGAATAAAACAAAAGCCCCCAGACCAGCTGAAGAATGATGATGATTCCAGTAAGACAATGTGGTACACGAGACAAAGGACAGCACAGAAAGAGCTTAAAAGAAATACCATACACTGTTTCCACCTCTAGTGATCACAATTCTATTCCCTGGCTGACCTGAAGATACTATGGTCTCCATATGCTCACAGATTACATACCAATACAATGACCTTGGCCTGTGGCTGCCTTGTGTTGATAAGTTGTACAATGGCCTCGATCCCACCTGCCACCTCTTCTGCTGTATTTTCATGGTTATTCGTTCCTACCCAGACAACAATGACCTGTAGAGGAGAGAAGAAAAGAAGGGGGAGAAAGATGAATAACAAGGAATAAAAGGATGTCTGACATTTAGGTGAAAATCTTGTATCAGATATCAAAGGAGGATAAATGAAATTTTTAACAGCACTGGGTATCTCCAAAAACTGATAGCCATCTTAAGACATGGATCCACACTTCCTGACCTATACCAGGATACATTCCGTATCGACTGAGTGGCAAAACTGTACTAGAAGGATACAAGGTTCTTTTATAATTGTGGAGCTGGAAGTTAATGTCTCAAAATCCAATAGTTACACAGAAAAAAACCAACAGATTCAACTGCATAAAAATATAATCCTTTCTATTTAAAAAATAAAAAGGAAAGAGACATGAAATCTAAGCAATCCAGGGTTGCAATTCACTTCATAAATAAAGACTGACCGTCTTGGTGTTTGCCCGTGTCTATGGGGCTGGGCGCCTGATTTGACAAAACTGAATAAAGAAAACCTCACTCTCACTAAAATGAGTACAGACTGCATTACTTGAGCGTCTGTCAGTATAGACGTTTCTCACAAATCTGGGGGCCCATCCGGGATTTTCTGGTGGAGCAGCAGCCCTGGTGGAAAAAGAGCCACGTCCAGCCTTGGTTTTGGTGGCCTACTCCACTGGGTTGACTGCCTCCCAGCAAGAGCCAAAAAAAAGACCCTAGACTTCAAAGGTGATCAGAATTAGTGAGAGACTTGGAGGACTGAGGAGAGAGTAACCGTGGCGACTAGGCAATCCGTCCACAGGCCAGGGCAGGAAAATTGGACTTTAAGTATTTCCCTGGTGGTCAGGTCATTTGCGCAAGTCATTGTGTGTCTGAGACACATCTTGTATGCGAAGCAAGTGCAGTCCCACTCTGGTCTGAGGACAAAGTGGAATCTTGGGGTTATATGCAAGAAATCTCCATGAGGACCTAAACATGGGGAAATTTGGGGAGGTTAAGTATGCAAGGAAAATCAGACAACAAGACCAAAAGAAAACGGGGAACAGAATTCTAGGCCTAGGGAAGAAGGGAGCAGGAGAGACTCCCATAGACATTCCTTTTAGTCCTTTGGGGAGAATGTTGAGGGCTTAGGGGGACAATCCCCACCCCGGGAAAAAGATAAATATATTGTTTTATTTGGCCAAAAGATCTGATCCATTCACCATCTATGCTCTGGCTTCAATTTGGTTCCAATAAGGACTGGGTCTGCCAGGCCCTAGTCCTACATGTAAACGATAGAACTCGGCTTTCTCAGAAGGAGATAATCTATGCTCCTTGTTGGTCAGTAGGGGGAGCGGAATCAGTTCAGAAGATGTTCTCCTTTAAAAGATGGAAACCAAGACAAAAAGATTCAGGGATGGAGTGAAGAACCCATTGATGAATTGTTAAGATAAGCTCAGAAAGTTTTTGTAAGGAGAGAGGGGTAAAACAGAGGCAGAAAGCTAGAATCATGGTATCTGTCACTGTGAATAATATAATTAAATAAGAGTGTAGAACAGTTCTCAAAGGAAGTAGAACTGTGATTACAGTGTTAGGCCTCTTCAGAGGAAAGGGAGGAGACGACTGAGCCAGGTCCCCAAGCCCACCAGCAGATGAATACTGTGGGAAGACAGACTATTTCAAAAGAGAATGTCCACAGATAAAGAAGCGAAGGAAAAATGATTCCCCTCATGAAATTAGAAATTAACTTTTGAATCTTCTGTAATGGTACCTTATTGTAAGATTGGGTTAGGATTAGAGAGGGCGAGGAGTAGAAAAAGGTAAATATGGCACCTCTAACTGAAGAGGAGAAAGGAAAGATATAGTAAGATATAGGCTTATTAGTTTTTCAAATAACAGTATCTACCACCAGTGGATCTGGTAGCACAGTGGTTACGAATTGGGCTGTAAACCACAAGGTCAGCAGTTCGAAACTACAGCTGTTCCACGGGAGAAAGATGAGGCTTTCTGTTTCCGTAAAGATTTGCAGCCTTGAAAACCCTGTACAGGGTCACTATGAGTTGGAACTGACTCCACGGCATATAACCACAGGTATGGAGTGGGCAACAAACACACAATTGCACTAAAGGAAAATAGTTACTGGGGTGAAAGTTAAATCCAGATTCTGAGGGGTGTTTTTTACCCCTGAAAAAAATTTTTTTTTTTTTTTTAAAAAGAGGCACCTGTCCTTCAAGAAACATACAAGAAGGCTTCAAAAAGTACAGGGAAATTTTTCAATTTTTCACAAGCTATTTTTGAAGCTCTCAAGTATAACTCACTAGGTAAATCCAAAAAAAGTAAATTTTTACTTTATCCCAAAAGAGAAGCACGTGGGTGAGTTTTTCTATTAAAAAGGAAGAGAATAAAATGCTTTCACAGTTAACACATTTTTTACTCGTTGCTCAGCTTTGATTTTTAGCTGGGGCTAAAAAAAGTTGTATACCCCAGACATTTATTATGTGAACAGGTACTGGGTAGATCTCAGGGTGAGCATTTGGTTCATACCTACTTCAAATTTTCCTCAGAAAAAGTTGAAGGCTTTGATTACCAATTCGCTTATGTGGTTAAACAGATTAAAATTCCTTACAGTAGTGACCAACGTCCCTGCTCCCATGGTCCATCTGAGCAGTTTTCCGCTCATATGCCCCATCCATGCATTCCCCAGAATAGCATACCTCATTAGTATCAAACCCCTTTCCACAACCAACAAAGATAATTAAACAATAGGTTGATTCCTGCATTGAGTATGTATTTTGGGGGTAATGCTCTAAGTAAGGACAATATCAAAGAGTGATAGTTAAATAGCACTTTAAAGGAGCAATGTCTTTTCTGCCAATCTTAGACAATTTAAATACTTGAAAAATCCTCAACATTAATGATAGCACTTTCTTTTAAAAACAAGTTTCATTTTACCTTAGGTTTAATGTTCTCCAGTTCTCCATTCTTTAGTCTCCACAAAACATGTCTTGTTGTATCTCCTCCAATTCCAAAATTCAGTGCATGAAGTGGGGAAAAAAGTTCTCGCCATATCTAAGAGAACATGATTTATTTAAATCAAAATTAGTGGGAAATAAAATCCTTCCACTGCACTGCATACTGAGGCATTTGAAATAACAATTTCCATTTTCTGTTTCCAAGCATATCACTGCAATGTGTGTGCCATTCACTGTTTAAGGGGCTTAGAAAAAGTCACGGAAAAATTCCGTATCTTTTAACCCATTTTTTTGCCACAAAATTTTTGAAGCCCCTTCATAAAACTGAGTTCTCAGTGAAGCATTAAGGACTCAACTTCATAAGTGAGTTACAACTTAACCTAATGTCTCTAAGAAGTACCAGCATTTACAAATAAATTGGTAGCTCAATAAACTCCTTTCACTTTATTCAAACTTAAACCTTTTCTTTTAGATTTCCCTTGGTAGAATGCCTAACCAAAAAGGAATTAAAAAAAAAAAAAAAAGAATTTGGAAGAACAAAAATAACCTAAGAAAATGGTAAAATGCAAATAGTAAGAATTGAAGACCATAATTAGGACAAACACAAAATACAATACCAGGCAAATAAAAGCATTTAGTTATACACAATGCAAAATTTTCTCTGTGTCGTTGGCACAAAGAAAACTTTTAGGTATGGTCCGTTTTCCCTTATACTCTGAACAAGAAATTCCTAAGAGTCCCAAGTAAGTCAGAAGTACATCTGTTACATGTATGTAACATGTACAGATCAGAATGCACGTGTGCTAGTGATCACATACAGCCACCACTGCCCTTCTACCTTTACCTCGTACTGCTGCATTAACTGCACCATGGAGTCTCCCACAAATAGTACATCAGGTTCTTTGTCTTTACAATCCAGGACAAATCTGTTGTGCTGGTTTGAGGAAGAAAGGAAAATTAGAAATTGGCATTTCTTTCCCCATGAGATTTTCTGGTTTAGAAGTTAGTTGCCCAACTAGTGACTCTGCTGTCATCTTTTAAGCATTGATGTTGTCATTGTTCTGCCTGTAAAGCTCATTCCTTTGGATCGGTAATCAATTCTGGAACTTTCTACCTACCTTTCCCATAATGATCATTCTAACACAGTCAAGAAAACCAGAATTCTCCTGGCATCAGATTAGAAAAATACGCTTAACATGGTTTTAATACGTTTTCTTTTCAAAAAACGAAGATTTTACCTTTTCCCCAAACTTTCAGATATACTGAAAAGTTCAAATAACAGTACAATGAGCACCTTTAAACTCACCACTTATATTCAATAACTAATAATATTTTCCCATATTTGTTTCTCTGTATATGTGTGTGTGTGTGTTTGCTAAACCATTTAAAATAAGCTGCAAGCTTTGGGCAATCCCATTAACACTTACAATTCAGTGCTGATTAAATTTTCCCCAGTGGTCCCAAAAGATGAACAGAGCTTGGTAGCTGGGATCCAAGCAAGAGCCATGTGTTTCACTGGGATCTTTTTAAATGGACTTTGACAATGTCTATTAACTTCGAGATGTAAGACAATGGCAAACAAGGACTGAAGAGAACTGTAGCTTTTCAGTAATTCAAGGGTATAAGCAATGGTGACTTGCTATGCCTCTGTTTGAAAAACACAAGACAATCCTTTTATTCCTTCTAGACATAATTTTTGTGGATTTTACAGCACTAAAAGAAGTAGGTTCAAATTTTGATACTCAATCTTTGAGACAAATTTACATGGTACTTTAAGCAATAGGTATCTTATCTCATTCCAGGGAAAGGTTTGTATGCTGTTTCATTTGATCAAATTCTACATTCAACTATGCCTAGGAATTAAGCCAGAGTTACAACTGAAATATCTGCTGATTATACCAACAGCTGGAGTACTGATTCATGATCTATGTGAAAGTTTTATAAAGTTTGGGGAAACACACATCCTGCACAAATAGCCTGCATTTCACTACTAACCTAAAGGTTAATAGATCAAACCTACCCAGCAGCATGGTAGAAGACCTGACGATTTGCTTCCATAAAGATTACAATCAAGAAATCCCAATGAAGCAGTGCTTTGGTCACACAGGCTAGCTATTAAACAGAACAGACCTGACAGCGCACACTGTAGGTGAAAGCTGGGACGTGAATGATGCCAGTGATGTGTATTCAACTACCTGCTAGCCTAAAGTATGATAGTTCTATTCCATCACACACAGGACTGCAGTGAATCAGAAGTGACTCAATGCCAACTGTTTTGATTTACAGGTGACACAGGAGACCCTGGATGGTACAAATGGCTAAGTGTTTGGCTACTGACCGAAAGGTTGGTGGCTTAAATCGACCTACTGGTGCCTGGAAAGAAAGTCCTTGTGATGTATCCCAAAGGTCAGAGATAGGAAAATCCAATGAAGTGTAGTTCTACTCTGTAACACATGGGGTTGCCAAGAATTGGAAGTGACTCAAAGGCAATTGGTTTGCTACCGGTGAAAAGTGGAATCCAAGGCTAGAGCAAATGGTTAGGATGTTTGGTTACTAGCCAAAAAGTTGGACGTTCATGTCCATCCAGAAGCAACTCAGATGAAAGTTTGGGTATTTACCTTAAAAAAACCAGCCTTTGAAAGTTGTACGACAATAAACAAAAATGAGTTTTAAACGTTAGTAATATGAAACCTGAAAGAAAAATTAGGGAAACAATTTCATTTGCAATAGTGTCTAAGAGAATAAAATGCCTAGGAATAAATCTAACCAGGGATATAAGAGACTTAAAAAACACACATTATGAAGCACTGTTGAAAGAAATTAAAGATATTACAAAAAGCTTAAATAAATGGATTCCTGGTGTGGCACTAGAATTCCAAGCACAAGCTTGTCAGTTCAAATGCACCAACTGCTCCTCAGAAACCCTATACAGGGTCAACTATGTGTTGGAACAGACTACATGGCGCTTAGCAATGACAAATAAATGGAAAGATGAGCTAATGTCGTCGAGATGCCAATACTACTCAAAATGACATATAGATTCAACACAGCTTTCTATACAGAAATGGAAAAACGAATCCTCAACTTTATATGGAAAAGCAAGAGCTAAAACAATGTTGAAAGTCAAGAATAAATTAGGATTCATACTTCCCAGTTATAAAACATATTATTGTTGTTGTTTAAGTGCTGTGGAGTTGGTTCTGACTCAGAGAGCCTGTATAGGAGTTCTAAGGAGTGGCTGGTGAGTTTGAACCACTGACCTTGCAGTTCAAACCGACTTTGCAGACCAGTGCTGACCCTACAGCTCCACACCAAGAGTCCTACAGTGCCATGGTGATGGTCATATGTAGTAGTGTTGGTTCTGACTCATCTCGACTCTTCATAGGGTTTCCAAGGCTGCAAATCTTTATGGGAGCAAAAAAGACTCATCTTTCTCCCATGGAACAGCTCATAAATTTGAACTGCTGACCTTGAAGTTAGCAATCTGACTTGTAAACACTCCCCATAAAAAATAAAGATTTTTGCTTATCAAAAGACTATACCAAAAAAAATGAAGACAAGCTACTGTCTGGTAGAATATCTTTGGAAACAATATAAATGGCAAGAATCTAATAACCAAAATCTAGATAAAACTTAGGTAATATGACAATAGAACAAATAACCCAATCATAAAACAGGCAAAAACAAACCCACCTGAAACCTTTCATAGGGTTGCTATGAGTCAGAACCAACTGGATGGCAGTTAACACCAATAACAACATTAAAAGAGTCTTGGTGGGTCAGTGATTAAGCCATTTGACTGTGAACAGAGGACAGGTGTTCAGAACCACCAGGTGCTCTGCAGGAGAAATATTTGAAAATTTGCTTCTGTAAAGATGACAGACCTCACTAGCAAAAAGTGTCTGCCGTGACCACTGTGCTGTTAAGAACTGGCTACTGGGAACAAACTGCTAACAGCAACTGGAAAAGTTAGACAGGAACCTTAAGGGCAGTGGTTTACGTTAATGAAGGAGGAATTGCTCAGAAAAGAAGGTGAGAATGACTACAAACTCATGTTATCCACCTCACAGATTTGTATAAGCAGAAACAAGTGAACTGGTGTAGGTTTTACTGTGTATATTCTTAATAACAAAATACTATTTTAAATAAAACAAAAATTTTAAAATCAATCTGTTTTAAATAAAGAAAAGGATATAGTCTTAGAAACCTAATGGAGTAGTCCTACTCTTCTGCTCTATTGAGTCACTACGAGTCAGAATCAACTGTACAGCAAGGGGGTTTATCCTCCATGTGACTAGACTTCTCCCTGGATGTAGAAATAGGTATCACTTGGTCAACAGTCTTATTAAAAACCACCACAATAATTCACTGTTGTTGTTAAGTGCCAACGAGTTGGTTCTGACTCACAGTGACTCTGTACAGTGTTTCCAAGTAGGAGCTGGTGGGTTTGAATTGCTGTACTCATGGTTATCAGCCCAGTGTTTATTTTACATGCACCACACCAGGAGTTACTTTGATGCTAGACAAATGCGCTGCTTCTCCTTAAAGCTTTATCTACTAATTTTAGCATTCACTGATGGATCTTGCCTCTACAATTATTACTCTGTTTTCCAATGATTTTCCTTTTCCTTCCTTTGTTTCATATTTACTAATTGTAATTCTTCTGACATGAGTCTAAAACATAAGTAAATGAAAATTGGTTAAGGCCACACCACCTTAGCCAAGTGTTCATATCACCAATGAGATAAACCAAGATCAGGTGCTCTGTATGTGATGCAATGAGGACATATAACTTCCCTGATATTCCTGCCCAAAACACAAAATCTGAATTTTGATTACACCCAAGCTGGGACATTCTACAATATAAACGGCCTATACGATTCAAAACTATGCAGGTCATGAAAGAGACTAAGGAATGTTTCTACATCAACAAGGATAGACACACCCACTAAATACAATGTGTGCTCCTTGGCTGAGAAGAAAACTGCTATAAAGAACATCACTAGGCAGGTGGAGAAATCTGAATACGGTTTGTAGATCAGGTTAATTTTATCACATTAAAATGAAATTTCCCGATTTTGAAAAATTATACTGTAGCAGCGTCCTTGTTTTTAGAAAATACCCTGAAATATTTACAGATGTATAATGGCTGCAACTTACTCTCAAATGATTCACAGAAAAATGTTGGTTTACATCACTTGTTGTCAAGTCAGTTCCAACTCATGGAGACCCCAAAGTGTGTGAAGAGCAGAACTGTGCTCCAAATAGCAATGGCTGATATTTTTGGAAGTAGATTGCCAGACATTTCTTTTAAGGTGCCTCTGGGCAGACTTTCAATTAGCAGCTAGCTGAGTCTGAGTGTGTTAACCAGAAAAGTCTATATTTGCATATATATATATGCAAAAATGTACAGATAAGATAATTTAGCAAATGTAGCAAAACACTAGTGATTAGTGAGTATAGGTGAAAAATTTATAAAGGTTCTTTGAAAAAATTTTTTTATAACATCTGTATAATTTTCAAATTACTGCAAATGAAAAAGCATTAAAAAAGAATACAGAAAATAAATTTGATAACCTTTTGAGATTAACAGAGGCAATCACCATGGATTCCAAACATTCCTTAGTCCCAACATCAGAATGGTGATTAGGCACACTTCTAACATTAGATACTTCTAACATTAGATTTTCATTTAGAGTAACAATTCTTTGACTTTTAAAAAGGACTCTTTGCAACTTTGGTTAGAAGGCCCTCAAAAACCAAAGAGATCCATCTCAGGTGAATAATCCATATGCACTTCCTTTTTACCTGCGACATCCATCTGTCATCTCCTTGAATATCTTCCGCTGCATGTGGAATAGCTGCTGGGTTTGAGTCTCCTTGGCTCATTCTACACCTGAAAAAAAAATGTTCATGTCATGTTTCATTTATTAGCAAGGTAGGGTGCTTACTTGTTTCATTAATTTTCAGTGTGGCTTCTACCTAGAAATTAAACAACCAGAGTTTATTTTCAATAGGGAAGACTTCCAGGACAGGACTCCTTAAGTCTCACAAATATATAGTATCATTCATTACCTTTAAGAAAGGTTTGAGTATCATCTGGGAACAATGCGTTACATTGGTGGTAGTGGTTGTGGTCACGGTGGTGTGCTGTCTAGTCAGCTCCAATTCATATGACTCAAAGCAACCCTGTATAGGGTTTCCAAGGCTATACTTCTTCTAGGAAGCAGAAAACCATCTTTCTTCCATGGAGCAGGTAGTAGATTCGAACTGCTGACCTTGGGATTAACAGCCCAACACATAACCCACTATGCCATCAGAGCACCTTGCACGGCATTAAAATAAAAATAAAAACTGCCTTAAGCAATGTTTTGCAGCTATATTAATTTTTATCACTATATTATGGTAGAGGAGCCTGGTAGCGTAGTGGATTATGAACTGGGCTGTGAACCTCAAGATTAGCAGTTTAAACCTACCAGCTGCTCTGTTCTGGTAAAGATCTACAGTCTTAGAAATCCTATACTAGGTTCGCTACAAGTCAGAACCAACTCAATGGCAGTGGGTTTGAGTTTTGTGTACAAAAACTACACAGTTCAATGAAACTGTGTAATTCAAGCTGCTTGTTGTTAAGTGTTGCCAAGTCAGTTCCAACTCATAGTGACCCTATATAGGGTTTCCAAGGATGGCTGATGAGTTTAAACCGTTGACCTTGTAGTTCAAACTGACCTTGAAATCCAGTGCTTATCCTACAGTGCCACACCAGGATTTCAGGCTGCTAAACGTGCTGGATTTATACACTTAAGGATTAGAAACAACTGGTTCCCAATGTAACTATTAACAATATAATTATACTACAGGTTATGATAGGAGTCCTGGTGTGGTGCTGTGGGTTAATGCGCCAGACTGCAAAGCCATTTGAACTGCAAGGCAGCGGTTCAAGCTCACCAGCTGCTCCTTGGAAACCCTACACAGGGTCACTATGGGTCAGAATCAACTTAATAATAACATCACCACCCTGAGTAAAGGAAACTCCCAAACTTACACCCAGTATATTAGAACTGAGGGGAGGTCCCCGGAGCCTCCAAATTGGAAAACTTGTGAGATCTGACCTGGTTGCATGTTACTAAAGTCTAAGAGAGCAATGCTGCTTTCTACAGCTGGTGTGAGCGAAGTGAAAAAGTTGAGACTTGGATTTGTGCTAATGTATTATTATGTATTATTAGCCTCATAATGGCATATAGAAAAGACATACTCTTTGTATGCCATCTATTTCCCTTCCCTTGACAACTTCAAATACAGCTTAAGCCTTCCATTAAAAAAGAATTGCATTATATTCATTCAACATTTATTTACTGCATCTGCAAAATACACCGGATTGCCAAGGTGGGAGCTTTTGAGAATTAAGAAATACCAAGCCCTAAAAACATGAAAGAAGGAGATCTGGTGGCATAGTGGTTACAAGTCGGGCTGCCAACCACAAGGTCAGTAGTTCAAAACTATCAGCAGTCCCGTGGGAGAAAAATGAGGCGTTCTGCTCCTGTAAAGATTTACAGCTTTGAAAACCATGTGCAGGGTCACTATGAGTTGGAACTGACTCCACAGTACTTAACAACAACAAAAACATGATAGCATATTTTCATTCTTGAAAAACAAATTACATAAGCAAAGAATATTAACACTAATTATACAAACAAATGAACTCAGTCCTAAATAGCACTGTTGTTTTTGTTGTTAGTTCCTTTGAGTCAGTTCTGACTCACGGTCACACTGTACAGGAGCGGCTGCTGAACCTGAACAGCCAACCTTGTGGTTCAAACCAACCTTGCAGTCCAGTGTGTTAACCGGTAGTGCCACACCAGGACTCCTAAATACCACTACTTGCTGTTGTTAAGTGCTATTGAGTCAATTCCAACCCATAGCGACCCTGTATAGGGTTTCTGAGGAGCAGCTGGTGAGCTTGAACCACCAACCTTGCAATTCAAACGGCTTTGCAGTCCAACGCGTTAACTCATAGCACTATACCAGGAAAAAACCCTGCTGTTGCTGTTAAGTTTCCGTGGAGTTGATTTGACTCCTGGTCAGACCATGTGTGCAGAACAGAACTGCTCCTGAGGGTGTTCAAGACTGCAACCTTCTGGAAGCCAGACTGTCTTCAGAAGCACCCTCTTGATGGGTTAAAACCTTTTGGGCAGTAGAATGCTTAACGAACTGTGCCTCCCAAACGTCAACCATTACTATCCAGTTGATTCCTGACTCAGGAAAACCACATAGAAGAGTAGAACGTTCTCCAGTTGAGAGGCTAACAGTCCAGCTCTTATGCTCTGCACTACCAGGGCCCCTGAGAAATAAATTTTACACAAGCTCAAGGATTCAACCAACTACAGGGAATGAAAATATGGGGTAGGATGGAGTGGGGGTGTGCAATTAAGGGATCAAAGCAATCCCTCAAGGCTAAAGTGGAGCTGTAAAGTATAATTTACATACTATTTACACTGTGTTAGGTATTACAATAGAGGAACCCTGGTGTGGCCCTGTAGCCTAATACATTAGACAACAAGGTGGAAAGGGCAGTGGTTCAAACTCACCAGCTGCTGCTCCCAAACAGACTCAAAAGTACTCGACACAACAAGTATTATAAATAATCGGTTGCTGTTCACAGAAATACTGTATATGATTTCTGGATTTCTGAGGAGCAGCTGGTGGGTTTGAACCGCTGAACCTGAGGCTAACAGTCCAGTGCTTATCCTACAGTGCCACACTAATACTCTATAAGTAACCCAGAGATGGTCCACAGTATACACGAGGATTGTACAGGTTATATATTCAAATACTAAATCATTTTATATAAAGGACTTGAAGATTTGTAAATTTTAGTACTGGCGCGGGGGGAGGCTCCTGGAACCAATCCCCTGCAGATACCAAGGAGTGACATATTTTTCTCATGGGCCCTGGTGGTGCCGTAGTTAAACAGAAGTACATGTGTATGGCGGTTGCAGTGGTGATGTGCCGTGGAGTCTGTTCCGACTCATGATGACCCTGCAAAGAGTTTCCGAGGCTGTAAATCTTTACTGGAGCAGAAAGCCTCATCTTTCTGCTGGTAGTTTAGAACTGATGACCTTGAGGTTAGCAGCCTGACTAAGCTATAGCTATATGAGGGAGTCCTGGTGTGGCACAGTGGGTTAATGTGGACTGCAAAGTTGGTTTGAACTACAAAGTCAGCAGTTCAAGTGCAGTAGTAGCTCTTCAGAAACCCTATACAGGGTTGCTATTGGTCGGAATCGACTCAGTACTTAACAACAGTAACATATAAAGCTTACGTCAAAAAATATTGAAACTAGGGTTCCAGTTCATACATGCAAGGGTTTATTGCAAACAAAACCTATTTAAACGTATCTGTGACCAGTGAGGGGTGCAGACAAGTTCTCTCAGCAATATACCTGTTTCAGTTTGTTAGGGGTCTACATAACAAAGCCCAACCCAAACAGGGGCTTCCAAAGATCTGCTGGGCCAGTCACGTTCAAAGAAGAGAGGTTAGAGACCATTTTTTAAGTACCTCAAAGGTAGATTTTCTTTACTGACACAGTACGATTACCCCAGGCTTACTAGCTTTTAAATTCTTGAAAACTGCATTTGTGAGGAAAAGTCTAGCAAAGTTGCACCAAGACTCGACCAACGACATTTAATAGGGCTCCTTATTCAGTCCTTGTTGTTGTTGTAAGTGCTGTTACAACTCTTAGTGAGGACCCTGTAAAGGGTTTCCAAGGAGTGGCTGGTGAGTTTGAACCGCAGCCCTTGTGGTTGAATCCTTGTCCACACCAGGATTCCAAAGCCATCAGAAGTATATAGATCTAAATATGGTATTCCAAGTGCTGAAATGAAATTGACATTTTGTCTTTCAGTGGTGAGGGAAACAATTAAGTATATCAAAAAGAACAAGCCAAATCTCCGTTGCCATCATTAGCATAGAGTAGGCTTCAACTTACTGTAAACCTTTAGGACAGAGTAGAATTGCCTCATAGGGTTTCTAGGGCTGCAAATCTTTACAGAAGCAAACGATCTCATCCTTCTTCCAACACTGTTGTTGTTAAGTGCCACTGAGTTGGTTCCGATCCACAGTGACCCTGTTTAGGGTTTCTGAGGAGCCGGTGATGAGTTTGAACCACCAACCTTGTGGTCTATATCCTGTGCTTTATCCTACAGAGCCACACTGGATCTCCTTTTCCAACATCCATTATCATTATAAAGACAATTCATATACACAGCGATCACGTCTCTATCTTCTTTAGTCTGTCCGTTCTTGTTTACACACACACAAACACACACACAAAGGAGGGTAAGTCAAAAGATATTGTTAAAAAATCATAGAAATCTGTATTAAACAAAAATATCAAAATGTGAAGTTATTGTTCCTTAACATATCCTCCATCTAGGTCTTCTAAAAATAGTGTTTCCATCTCTTTAAGCCTTCTTCAAAGAATTCTGCACTCTTGATTTACACCATGTCAAAATGGCTGCTTCTGCTCCCTTGTTAAGTGCTGTTAAGTCAGTTCGGACTCATAGCGACCCTGTATAGGGTTTGCAAGGCACTATTTATTGTTTTAAAATTGGGAAAGGTGTGCATCAAGGTTGTGTTCTTTCACCATACTTATTTGCTGAGCAAATAATACGAGAAGCTGGGTTCCATGAAGAAAAACGTGGCGTCAGGATTGGAGGAAGACTCATTAACCACCTGCGATATGCAGATAATACAACCTTGCTTGCTGAAAGTGAAGAGGACTTGAAACACTTACTTATGAAGATCAAAGAGCACAGCCTTCCATATGGATTACATCTCAATGTCAAGAAAACAAAAATCCTCACCACTGGACCAATAAACAACATTCTTATCAATGGAGAAAAGATTGAAGTTGTCAAGGACTTCATTCTTCTTAGATCAACTATCAACACTCATGGAAGCAGCAGTCAAGAGATCAGACGTCGTATTGCATTGGGTAAATCTGCTGCACAGGAACTTTTTAAAGTGCTGAAGAACAGAGATGTCAGTTTGAGGACTAAGGTGCACCTGACCCAAGCCATGGTATTTTCAATAACCTCATATGGATGTGAAAGCTGGACAGTGAATAAGGAAAACCGTAGAAGAATTGATGCCTTTGAGTTGTAGTGTTGGAGGAGAATATTAAAAGTGCCATGGACTGCCAAAAGAACCAATAGATCTGTTTTGGAAGAAGTGCAGCCAGAGTGCTCTTTGGAGGCCAAGATGGCCAAGCTTCATCTCTCATACTTTGGACATATTGTCAGGAGAGAACAGTCGCTGGAGTAGGATGTCATGCTGGGTAAGATGGAGGGTCAGAGAAAAAGAGGAAGACCCCCCCCAACGAGATGGATCAGCCAGGTGGCATCATTGATGATGTCAAGCGTGGCAGCGGTGGTGCGGTTGGCCCAGGATCGGACACTGTTTTGTCTTGCTATGCATGGGATCGCTATGAGTCAGTTCTGACTCGATGGCACCTGACAACAACAACATTTATTGCTGAGTTTGAACCGCTGACCTTGTGGTTCAAACAAACCTTGAAGTCCTGCGCTTATTCTACAGTGCCACACCAGGACTCATTTTTGCTTCCTGTTGTTGTTAAGTGCCATCGACGTCGGTTCCGACCCATAGCGACCCTGTATAGGGTTTTCAAGGAGCAGCTGGTGAGCTTGAACTGCCGACCTTGCAGTTCAAATGGCTTTGCAGTCTGGCGTATTAACCCACAGCGCCACACCAGGACAAATTATGTCCCTTTTAAAGGTTCTTGGAGTTTTCGGAACAAAAACAAGTCTGAAAGGGCAATGCCAGGACTGGAAGGTGAATGGGGTAAGGTTTCCCAGTGAAACTCTCGTAGGACAGCCCTTGCTTTCCTTGAAGGATGAGCAGGTGCATTGTGAAGACGGGAAAAAAATTCCTTGGTACAGTTTTCTTGGCCTTTTCTCATCAATGCAATTTTCAGTTTTCTTAAAATGTCTTCCTAATAAGTACCCACGGTCATCCTGTGTCTGTCCTTCGAGGAAATCTATTAAAATGACCCTTTTGAGTCACCCATAACAGTCCCATAACCTTCTGAGCTTGTCAGTGGTTCAAACTCCCATCACTCTTTGGATAACCTATACAAGGTAGCTATGAGTCAGAATTAACTCAAGGCGCTTAACAACGATATACTTGCAAAGCCTATTTACTTTCTACTCTTCCTGTTAATTCTATAGCTTTCATTTAATATCCAATTCATACTCTTCAGCAAAGAACGTTAAGTTTTATACAGAAAAAGCTATATGAAAGTGGTAAATTCTAACTTGTATTTTTTATTGTTGTTAAGTGCGGTCAAACTGGTTCCGACTCATAGTGACTTTGTGTAGAATTCCCAAGGGTCAGCTAGTGAGTTTGAACCACCAACCTTGTGGTTAGCAATACAGTGCTTATCTTACAGCATTACACCAGAACTCCCTATTTGTCGTTATTAAGTGCCATCTAGTTGGTTCTGACTCACAGTGACCCTATATAGGGTTTCTATGGAGCGGCTAGTGGGTTTGAATGGCTGGCCTTTGGTTAGCAATCCAGTGCTTATTCTACCGCACCAGACTATGACTCCTATTTTCTATTACAATCACTGAAATTTAACAACATTCTGTACAAAATTATTTCCATTTTGTCCCTAAATTTCTTCATAAACAAAATAACAAAAGCTATTTGGACACAGAAATTGGGGAATAAAACTACATATTTGAGGCTACAGAGCAAGTAGAATTGGGAGATGGCAAAATATTCCCAATTACCTAGTCTTTCTTTCCCCTTAACTATGAATACAAGGTCTTCCTTCTTCTCCCTCTACAAGAGCAAAATATCTGCTTGAAAACTTGTTTCATTGTGCCCTCAGACATTTGGATTTTGTATATTTTGCCAAATGAAAATCTCACAATACAAAGTAGCTTTCATAGTTTTACTGATGCCTACACTCTGGTAACATTTTCAAGCAGGAGAGAAAGAAAATTTCAGAAAACACATGCAGACTTTCTTTAAGAACTAGGTTGGAAAAAGCACAACCTACAGACGATGAGGCACCTAACAACAACAAACAGATTATGCAGAGGATTCAAATAATTCGAGAGTTAGAAAAACTATTACACAATTTATAATAAAAATGAAGAATGAATCAGGAGATATCCAGAGAGCAGTCTGCACTAGGCCACAAAGATAAGGGTGAGTTTTGAGTTTCGTGCCTGAGAGAGAAGGCTGTATTCCAACATAGCTGTCTTCAGAATGGAGTAGCTGTAACCAACAATTTTTGAAAAAAAGGTACCAAGAGAGGAATTTGATTCCCACCTGTCTCATTTTTCTGATTCATAATATTCTCAGGATGCAGCAAGTCATTATCTTCTGACAGACACCACAAACAATAGTCAATGAAAACCCCAGCAGAATAAAGATCCAAAGAACAAAAATGTCAATTTACCTACATTCCAAGACAGCTTTTAACTATTTAGTAGAGATGGCACTTGATAGGGCTACTTCAGATTCTTAACCTCCAGTTTCCCTACTAGTGTAGTGGTTAGAATTGGGCTGTGAACCTCCAGGTCAGCAGTTCAAAACTACCAGCTGTTCCGTGATAGAAAACTGAGGCTTTCTGCTCCCGTAAAGATTTATAACCTTGGAAACCCTGTTCAGGGTCTCTATGGGTGGAATCCACTCGGCGTCACTAAACAACACCAACATCATCTTCCCTATTTAGACTAATGGTATAAGAGCAGAATTTCTAGATGTTAATACAAGCATGGCAGTCCTGGTATGGTGCTGTAGAATAAGCACGGAACTGTTAACTGGAAGGTCAGCAGTTCACACCCACCAACCAGCTGCCCCTTGAGAATCCTACGTTGTTGTCATTATGTGCCGTCCAGTCGGTTCCAACCCATAGCGACTGCATTTTCCGAGGAGCAGCTGGTGAGCTTGAACCGCCACCCTTGCGGCATTGCAGTATGGCACATTAGCCCACAGCATCACACCAGGATTCCTGAGAACCCTATACAGGGTTCCTATGAACCAACACTTACATTGAATTGAAAAATACCAGCAGGGTGTAGAGTGCCTAATCAGAAGCCAGTTTCAACAACAAAGAAATAGAAATTTTCCAAGTGAGGTGGAAGTTTCTTTAGTATGAGCCAAGAAAAAATTGGAGGGGGAAAACTGTACTAAAAATTAATAGATTTAGAATGTTTCCACTCCACCTAAGACTCTTCATTTTGCTTCACAGGGAGTTGGCAGGGTTAATCTTAAGGGGGTGACAGGCAGACCTCATCCGGAAGGCACAGCCTGAGTGGGCTGGTGAGTGGGTCCCCAGGTTCCAGCACATCCATAATTCATCATCAAATGCCCAAGCCAAGAAATTAAAGCAAAATTATTTCCTATGCTTCCACTGCTCCCCCACAAGAAAGCAACCTTTATGTTGAGTCAATTCTGACTCACAGCAACCCTGTACAGGGTTTCCGAGGCTGTAAATCTTTACGGGAGCAGAAAGCCTCATCTTTCTCCCGCGGAACCGCTGGTAGTTTCAAACTGCTGACTTTGAGATTAGCAGCCCGGTTCGTAACCATTACGCTACCAGAGCTTCTTAACCTTTATGTACACAGGAGGAAAACCTAAAGACATGAGGTACATTGTAGGTAAAAAAAAAAAAAAACAACTCCACTGTCACTGAGTCACTTATGACTCATAGTAACCTTATTGTCAGGACAGATAGAACTGCCCCATGGGGTCTCCAAGACTGTGAATCTTTATAGGAGTAGACAGCTTCTCTTTACCTTTCTTCAGAGGAGCAGCTGATGGGTTTTAACAGCTGACCTTGAGGTTAGCAGCCGGATGCTTAACCCACTAAAGCATATCTTTAGGCAAACACTCATGACAGATCATCCTCTGTATTTTCTTTCATCTTTTCCCATTCCTTTAACCCCCACCATATTTTGTTGTTGTTAAGTGCCACAGGGTTGGTTCCAACTCATATGGCTCCTGTAGGTTTCCAAGGGGCAGCTGGTGAATTTGAACTGCTGACCTTAAGGTTCACAGCCTAGTGCACACGTGTCCTCCCCCCATATTTAAGGCCATTTGAAATGAAGTCCTAGGATCAGGTGGTCTTCCCTTCTCCATGGGGAAGTCTAAAAATGAAGCCTTGGTGCAGTGCTGTAGAATAAATATTGGACTGCTAATTACAAGGTCGGCAGTTCAAACCCACCAGCTAGCTGCTCCTTGTAAACCCTATACAGGGTCGCTGTTGAGTCGGAATTTAACAAGTTTTAAAAGAGGCCAGAGCTTCAAGTGTTAATTTTCATAAGGCTTGTATATAAATTATAAACTTATATAGTCGGATGGCTATGGAAAGCAGAGATAAAGAGCAGCGAGTCTGGAAAGAGGTAAAGATGTAACCGGCCAAACCTGTAGACCGTGATGTGGGCCAGGAGTAAACCACCCAAGAAACCCACCCACTGGCTGGTTAACTAACTGGATGACCTGTCTGAGGCTCATTTCTAAAATGAGACGCTTAACTGGATAGTCCTCGCAGAAAGAATCGCTTCCGCGTCCAGCCAATGTGTGGGTCTTTTGAATACTTTAGAGGAAGAATCGGAGAAGTTTCTAAAGAGCTGAAATTTTTCAACAAAAGAGGGAGGAAAAAGAACTCTGTGTAAAAAACAAAAATCCAGCAGCGGAATAACTGGTCTGGGCCCACGTTAACAGCCTACAACGCAAGAGGAAAAAGGAGAAGAGGGTCAGAGGTTGAACCTCAGGGATGGAGGCAGAAGGCAGCCGCTGAGACTGGAGGCAGGAAGACATGCTGGAAATGGTGCAGGCAGGAGCGAACTCCCCGCCGAAGGGAGCTGGGGGAGCTGGGAGGCCTACTCCAGGGGGTGTGTGCGGCAAGAAGGTCCGCCCCGCCCCGCTACTCCTCAACTGGAGAAGGCGGGGCTGAAGAAGAGCCTAGCGGCCGAGGAAAGTAGGCAGGTTTAGGAGTGTTGTAGCTGGGAGAAAAGGCTCTAAAAGGATGGAGAGAGGCCTGGAGAATCAAGGCCCGGCTGGCAGAGGCTGCGCGCGCCAGACCCCCAAGGGCCCAGCGGGGAAGTGGTGGCGCGGGGAGGAGGGGCCCGGAACGGTGGGGGAGGGGAGATCGCGGGCTTCTCACAATAACACAGCGCAGCCCCATCCGCCCCCACCTCAAGTCACGGCTTCCCCGAGACTCTGGATACACTCACGCAGGTACACAGGGTCCGTGCGGGCCCCAAGCGGCTGCGGCTGCGGCTGCGGCGTCGGCGGGTGGCGCGTCTATCGCTCGCTCAGTCCCGGCGGCCCCGCTCCAGCGCGTCCCTCCTCCGGCCCTAGCACCAGCAGCAGCGCCTTCACTTCCGGTTCCCCTGCCACTCAGACAGAGGGATCCCGGAAGTCCCGCCTCCAGTCTGCCCGGTTTTTTCCTGGCTTCTTGCTCCCCACTTTCACTCTCTGCTGGAGCTCGCGGCTTAAATCCTGGTGTCCTGCCACGCCCCGCGACGCTCCAAGCTTTGTTCTCCGTCCGGCCCTCTTTTTTGCATATAGCCTGCATAACTCGGATGGTCCTTGATCTTTTCTCCGACGGCATCTCTCAACCCTCACTAATGTCACCGCAAAGTGGAAATGCCATTCGGGACATTGTAGCGCGTGACCTCACACTGACGCCATTCCCTTTCTACCCAGCCAACTGTCTTCCTTCTCTACCCCGTGGAATAAACCAGATTACGGAAAGAGGGAAGGAAACAGGCCCCCAAGGTTAATGAGACAGTCCCTTGGTGTATGAGTGGAATTTCTGTAACTGTAAGAATGTACGGATTTTGGGTGACCGCCCCTTAAGGTGATATATCAGGAGGATTGCGAACCAGTGTCTTTCCCTTAAAGGTCCATCCAGTTTAAAAGGAAGTCGCTATGGGTCGGAGTCGACTCAACAGCACTTGACAACAACAATACATATATAAAGTGAATCTTGAAAAGATTGTGTGTGCTAAATTTGGGTCGGAACCGACTCGATGGCACTTAACAACAACAACAACAACAACAAAGAAAAAACAAAACATTGCCATTGAGTCGATTTTGACCCATTGCTATCCTGTATGAGAGGAGGGAAAAACGCAGGTTTACAGTATGGAACGCTTGGTGGTGCAGGGCGGAGAATGGGCCCTTTAAGAATGGAGAGACTGATTCAGACCTTTCCAGGGGAATAGGTAGAACCTTCCAGAGCTCTAAAACTGGATCAGGGGATTTTGATTTTGCTGACAAAACTTGACAAGACTACTATAAAATCTTGGAAACCTAAGGTTTAAAGATATATCACATTCTTTTTCAGGCCACCTATGTTGTCAAATGATACTAAATGTGTATTTTCTCAGGCATATATAATCCAAAATAATTTTGTCTTCATATAAAATGATTTTACATTGCTAAGTGTGGCACTGTAGGATAATCACTTGACCACAAGGTTGGTTTGAACTGCAATGTTGGTGGTTCAAATTCACCAGTTGCTCCTCAGAAACCCTATATAGGGTTGCTATGGGTCAGAACCTACTTGACAATATTTAACAACAACAACAGTTTACCTTGGAATTCTCTTGTAGATATTTACACAATATATTACACATCTGTAGGAGCTCCATAAACGTTTCATTGAAAAGAATTTGGGAAATTCAACTGATGGTATAAAGATGCAACCAAGAAATAACACTCACAACTGAAGAGAAACTGAATTATTCACCAGGGATGGTGATGGTGGTTATGTGCCATGGAGTCGGAACCGACTCATAGTGACCCTGTACGGGGTTTCCAAGGCTGTAAATCTTTATGGAAGCAGATAGCCTCATCTTTCTCCCGCGGAACAGCTGATAGTTTCAAACTACTGACCTTAAGGTTTGCAGCCTGATTTGTAATCACTACACTACCAGAGCTCCTTATTAGAGCCACAGAATTCTGCACTTACCCAATTTTAACACTCAACACACTTTAATATAATTACTTGTTTAATACACTGTCTTTCCAGCTATGTACTAAGAGCTGCAAGAGAGCAGGGACTTTATTCTGTGGATTTCCAACACTCACAAAGTGAAGTTTGATCCATGTTGTTGTTATGTGTCTTCAAGTTGGTTCGGCCTCACAGTCACCCTGTATAGGTTTTCCAAGGAATAACTGGTGGGTTTGAACCACCAATCTTGCAGTCAGCAGTCCAGTGTATATTTTACACCAGTGTTCACAGTGTTGTTGTTAAATGCTGTGGAGTCGGGTCCGACTCAAAGCAACCCTGTATAGGGTTTCTGAGACACTAATTTAATACTGTTGAATGGTGATTGAATGGTCAAGAGTTGAATTTATGCTTGTATGGAACCCACCGTCTGTCTTTAGGCTTGCCTTTTTCTTTTTTTTTTTTCCTGAAAACCAAAGACATTATTCATATGTTTAGTGGCATATCCTGACGTCAGTTTACATAAGGCTTTTAGTGTGTGTGTGTGTATTGCATTTTTGTATTCTTCTTAAATTTTTTTATTGTAAATTGAGTGAAGGTTCACAGAGCCAACCATCAGTTCCACATTCAACAAATCATACACCTGCTTCACTACAACAATTGCAATTCCCTTCACGTGCCTTCAGGTAACAGTACTTACTTCTATTCACTTCAACTTCCATACTCCTCCCTGTGTCTCCAGCTATCTTCATCTTTTCTCTGCCAACCCCCTACTACATGTTGCCTGCCCTGTCACCCATGTTAACATGTATTTATCCTCTAGTCCGTGAATAATTTTCACTATTCCTACCAGTAATCATCATAGACTGTTTCCTTTATCAAGAAACCTTTTTTTAACTTTTGACAACATTAGTCTCATACAATGTTTGTGCTTCTGTGATTGACCAATTTCACTCAGCATAATATCCATGTTGTGAGGTGTTTCCACAGATTCAACATTATTCCTCAATGTTGCGTAGTATTCCACTGTATATTTGTACCAAAATTTGTTTAACCAGTCTTCGATTAATTGGCATTTAGACTGTCTCCATCCTTTTGATGTGTCTCTTGTAGACAGTATATTGAAGGATCCTGTTTTATTATCCATTCTGCTACTCTCTTTTTTTTTTTTAAGTGAAAGTTTATAGGGCATATCATCAGTTTTACATTCAACAAATCATACACCTTGTTTCATTACATTGATTATAATCCCCTCTGTGTACCATCAGTTAACAGTATTTCTCTCTATCCACTTTAGGTTTTTTTTTAAAAAACAAAACAAAACAAAACCACTCAGGCATATATAATAATTTACATCTCCAAAGGGCTCATTCTGCAAGTCTGCTCCTGGCTACCAGCTCTTAGTCCCTCTCGTCTTAGTCCAGGAATCTAGAGTCCTCAGCCGCTCCCCCTCTCCATGCCCCCATCTCTGCCTCCATCTCTGGCACTGCTGCTTCCCTGGATAAGGTCCCACATTCTGCTTGTGCCTTCCTCTCTTGATGGTCCTAGGGTCCTCTGTTTCTGGACTGTGAGATTAACCACTCCCCTGTCTTTGTTATAAAACTTCTACCTTTACAATTGTGACAGTCACGATTAGTCATGATAATTATTCACTATTGAATCTTACTAATCTTATCCCCATCTCGTTTCACCAGACCCATCTAGACAAGATGACAGCTATTCAGTGGGGACTCTTTCTTTTCCCCCAATGCTCTTAAACTAAATTCCCTCCTGAAACCTTGTAAGCCAGAAACTTTGTGCCTTTATTGCCTCCTCATTTTAGGTAGCCAATGTCTAAGTTGCCTATCCCTATCTTCCCTGTGCACAGAG